CGGACAAAATCTCCTTTTTTGTCTGCTGGTTCCTGCACGTGGAGGAAAGACCTTCGAAAGATCTGATAATTCACATCAGGATATTGAATTCCCAAAGATGCCCCAATATTCGATGTTGAATCTAAAAAAATGCCCTAAAATTTGATGTTAAATCTCAAAAAATACCCTAGCATTTGATGTTGAATATTCAAATATGTCCTCATTATTCCTCATTTCTTGCTTTAGCATTGATTCTAAGTGTGAGCTTGGTGTTTGAGAGCCACATGTCATTTACCAAGATCCACTCTAGAGAGATTGTCTTGTTTTGAAAAAAATGTTTTTCTTTCTATTTTAAAGGAAAACATCAAAAAAGAGTTTCGAAAAATGTTTAATCAAAAGTTTTGAAAATATTGTACATTTCACGGTTTTACAATTGAGACAAATCATAAAACTAGAGTTCATTGGATATCAAATAATTAATTACATTGTTAATCATTCAATAAATTATAGCTATTTGACACGTTCCAAGATCAAATCTATTTTTGGGAAATGGTTAAGTAAGAAAATGATAAAAAAAGTCTCAGGTTATTGTGTTTGGTCAAAGGTTTGACATTTTTGTTTACTTGATGCTCAAAGGTTTGATGGGGTAGCTTGCATGCTCCTCTATTGGAAGTGTTCTTTGATTCCCAACTTTCATGGTCACGCTCGGATTGTGCGATGCCTTATCAAGGAATTTGTGTGATCGCCTCAACTGCCCAATTTTTGCATTCGAGCCACCTTTTCAGGTTTTCAACTCGAATCCTCTTTTGGTTTCAAGACGTCATTCGTAATTTACGTCTTGATACCCCCTCTTTGCTATTTTTCTCTATCATACATTAATTACACTATTTTTTGCAAATCAAGATTAATCCTGATGGGCAGGATGAAATCTGAAGATAGTCTCTTCTATTTAGAAATCCATGTATGATTAGAAGAGACTTTTAAGGCACGTAACGCAAGTCATGGTTCATGGTTATGAAAGAAAGGGATAAAAGGCCCAAACAAGTGTTTAAGGGTGATTGAACCATGGATCAATTCATTCTGATGTCTTTAATCATATCTTGCTCAATTTGAATCTGCTCGTATGTGTCTCTCCCTTGATGCTCTATGATCTTCGAGTGGAGTGATTCAGAAATGATTGTGCTTGATCAATCTCATAGTTTGAATCAAGAGAATCTTAGCATATGCATCTTGTCTTCTTTTTCTTCAATTTTCCTTTGTTTTTTCTCTTTTTATTTTCTCTTTGCTTTTTTCTCTTTTTTCTCTTTTTGTTCTTGATTGAATATTCACACTTGGCATTTGGTTCACCTTTCGGTATCTTATCTGAATCAATGTCTTCACTCATGCGAGTAGATTTTCTCCACCTTGCCCCCCAGTGTGGAGGGTGATCATTGGTTAGGGTTAAATCAGAAGAAAAATACTATATGCTCAAAAGGGGACACAAGGGATATATATTTTCTCCTGTTGTGAAGGGGTAAAGAAAGAAAATCGTTCATCATTTCATACATGGAAGCTTTCACAGAAGAGGTATCCCCAGGGGGATAGATTTTCAAGACTAATTTTATTCACATGAAAATAGTGTAATTAATGCATGATAGAATTATTTTGAGTGAATTCTTCTTTCTGCTTCTTGCCCCCAACATGTCTCAATGTTTAGGCTCCCTGCGAGATGCCCCAAGTTGTGTCTTAGAATAATGCTCATGTTCAAATGAACAACTCAATGCCTTGAGTTTTAATGGTATAAAAATGTCAATTTTGAGTCTAAAAAGACAATGGTGTGACTTTATTGACTCAAAGAAATGTATGGGTGTATCAAAAAGATAAAGACATTGTTAAAAAATTCAAAGGGAGGTAATGTCAAAATTTGGTCTTTTTGGTAATGACCATGAGTTATTTTGGGTAAAGAATCAAGGTATTTTGGGGTTTAAGACAGGATAAGAGAGGTCTAATCTTGTCATATATCAAAAATATATAATTCTTGAAGAATTAAAAGAATTCTTAATTCATTTAATATTCGAAGAACTAAAGATTAAAATTTGTTCAATTGCTCCACCTTAGAAAGTGGCATAAATTCAATCGTTTAAAAGATTAAGCAAACATAAAAGATGAAAGATGTGTTCAAACAAAACAATCCCCTAAGTGCAAATGATATATGCTATGCCCCCTTCTTCGGCTGTCCATGCCCCTGAATCCATCAGGTTTTGGATCTCACGCTTTAGAGTCTTATAGTTCTCAGATGAATGTTTGGAGCATCCTATGTGGCAACTGCAAACAGCTTCAACATCGTAGCCCTTAGGATATGTGGACTCTTTTCTCAGATCATTCTGGCAGGCTTAGTCGTACAACCAGCTGATCGGGCTCATTCGTTGTGATTTCAGTTTTTTCTTTTGATATTACAATCTTGCTTCCATGTGGTGTCATGTGATTAAAATCACTTCATCAAATCCTCCATGAAGAAATTTCATGTTTATGAAAATGCTTAAAAACAAAATGTAGATGCAAAATGCAAAATGCAAAAATGCATGAAATGTTCAAGGCATTAATCCAAAACATGTATGTTATTATAATTAATCCTTATTGGGGACAAAAGTGTTTTATCTTTTAAGAGACAAAAAATATCCTGATAGCTTCTGACATGTTGACTAGTCTTCTGCTTCCGTCTGTCACCAGTTGAATAACCTGTCGAACTGCTCTGGCTTCTCTGGTTAAACCGTGCAAATGTTGAGTTGCTTTTTGTATTGGCCCAAGAAGTCTCGAATGACTATATCTCTGGCATTTTTCTTTTGTTGAACCTGTTCCCAACAAATACATCATTGGAGCCCTCAATTGATAGGAACTATGTGAAGTTCATTTGTCTGTTTCTTGAATTCTTCAGCAAGGGTCTCCAATTTCAGCTATCGTTTTGCCATTGTTGTCTTTGAAGGGACTCACTTCATCTTACCCCTGCAACCTCTGTTAGTCAGTTCTTCAAATATAGACTTTCATTGTGCTTGATGTAGACCCAGTTCATTCTGAGTCCTTTATAATGCAGCAGAGTGAGACACTCTTCAATTGTGGGCACCACATCTTCTGGATTGAATACGACACATAGTCGCCTTGTAGACTGTCCTCTGTATTTTCATCTCTTGTATTACAACCCCTTTGTCCATTAATGCAGATTATTCATGTTTAACAAACACATTTTTTGTGGATCAACACCTCTTTTAAATGATGCAAGTGATAAAAATAAAAGAAAATAAAATAAAAATGAAAAGAGTTAGTGAGGTGAAAATAATAAAAAATAATTATGAAAAATAAAAGTCCTACCCCACATGATGTTTACCCCACATGCTTTAATTCCTACCCGGACATGATCTCTATCCAGCATGCTAATTTCAAACAAATCCTAACCGCATATTTATCTAGTTCGCATGCTTTGAACAGAAAATAAAGCATGAAACAAAGTAGCATGAAACAAAGGCTCTAATTCTCCATGGTCTCCCGGTTTTGGTTCTATAGAAAGGTACCCGAGTTCTCCTTGCTGGTGCCCCTTTGGGTTTGCCAGACCTTTAGTCCTAAACCCATCACTGGCTTGTGTGAACTAAGTTAAACTCGAGAGGATGCATTCTCTTATGTCCATACGGAGAATAAATTCACACGAAGACATAAGGTATATGAATTCCGAAGGTTACTTGTTAGACCCATACGGAGAATAAATTCCCACGAAGGCGTCGCTTTCGCCCCCACTTAAAAAGGTTCGGAGCTCGGGTATAGAGCTAGAGATGACAATTTTGAAAAATCTGAAATCATTAAAAAACGTTAATACAACTATTTATTTGAAAAATAATCAAAGATAAATAATAAGAATCGAATAAATAAATTAAATTTAAACTTGTAATTTTGCTAAAAAAGACAACCGGAAATTAATTTCGGCCTGACTCACTTACTTATCCCCAGTGGAGTCGCCAAGCTATCGTAACCGTCTTTCGATTGAGCCCCGGAATTGGGCTTCGACTTGAAATAATTGGGTTGGGAGTCGCCACCGACTACTTTAAAACGAATTTAGGTGGGTCGGACACCATCTTACCTGATCTGCGTTTTTACCAGAATGTGTCGGATTCGGGAGTCGGTTACGGTCAAGGAAGGATTAGCACCCTTGAACCTCCCTTTCGATACCAATTAATTTGCCGGTTGTCTTAAATTAAGAAAATTGTAATTTAAAATTAAAAGGTAAAAATACGATCACAATTACTTACCTTAGATAGTTTTAAAAGTGTGGCCTTTTATTTCATTTTCGAATCGTTTATAATAGCTTTGTTTTTGTATTTTCCGTGCTTTCCTCTATATTTTGTATGTAAATAGTGTGTTACAATAGTGAGTTACAATAGCTATTTATAATTCTTCTGGATCCTATTTTTAGGAGTTTGAATCATAGAAAAACTCTATCATATTTTTAGGAGTTTGAATCCTAGTAAAACTCTAACGCTATGTTTGTTTTTTGAATCCCACTAAATCAGGGTTGTTGAGAGTGTTGTACCCGGACGAAAAGGTATGTTGACAGGTCTAAAAACAATTGGTAACAAAAATGCAAATCTGCATTTGGCATGCTAATGGAGAGCACAGTCCTCACTTTCCCACCCCATCCTAAAATACAAACTGCAGTTGCAGTAGAAAAAAGAAGTGCGGGTCCAACCCACAAAACAGATCTGAAGTGCACTCGAGTTAAAGTAAAACAAATTTATTCATCTTGACTAGATACAAAGCATGCATGTATTAGTACAATGACGCATGTAAATATATAAAGACTAACTACATATTGTTGATAAAATAAATTCTTTCCTTGATGCATAAAGGAGGTTGAATTTAATTGGTCAAGTCCTGGAAAATGTATTTGGCTCGGGCAAAACAAGAGTCTAATTTCATGGGGAAAATGGTACAAAGGAGCAAAACAGAGAAAAGAAAACAATACAAAACAAAAAGAAAAATAACGCAATACCCTCTGTTAGTACCACGAGAAAAAAGAGATCGTCAGTTGCTATCAGGCAGAACAACAAAAGGACTAGAACATGCATATACTTTTACAAGCATCCGTGGACATAGTTACTTTTTACACAAGTATGTGAAATCATGTATGCACGAGTTTATTTTGTGCAAAGATTTATGCTGCACTACGTATGTAGGATATTGAAGGATTTCCTTTGTCAAATTTCAAGGAACTGCTAGCAAGTACATCAAGATCTGCTGAAACCATAAGCACCCTGTGAGTAGTTAATACTCCAGCAACATAGCCTCTAGGAGTTTCCTGCCAATGCACCTGCAGATATTGGAAAATAATGCAGTTAAAAATCCAAACCCATATTATTCAAGTAAAACGCAATCAAACAAAACAGACGATACACAATTTATGCACAGACATAAAGATATAAATAGATAAAAAGTATAATAGATATGTATTATCTTGGGTATGTGCATATACATATGTATTCGGTTCCAAGAAACAAATGCAATTCCTTTAGCACAGAAATGCATGCATTTCATAAGCAGTTGAACTGATGAATCCAGAGATATCAGCCATCAATGCTATTAAATTTCATCAACGCTTTGGGTAAATATAGCAGTGTTGTGATCTTAGACAAGAAGAAAGTCAGTTAACAAATCTTTCATGAACCTGGCGTGATAAACATTCTAAAAGTATATTGAGATTCCATTAAATTAAAGTGAAAAATTATAAAACAGAAAAGGTACGGGCCTTTGCAACTTTGTAGAGGAACCATACAAAGCGGAAAGGTGAAACTGCAACAGGAAAATTCGGTTAACAAATTAGAACCATTTTTGCTTTTAGATTCTTTATACTTACAGACATACTTTGCCACATCCTCGATGTGTGTGAAAGAAAACATTTTAGGCAAAAAAATATCTATAAAAATGATTCAACAAATGATCAGTAAAGGATTTGTATACAAAAATACTAATTCCAAGTTCGATCCTTAATTTGTAGTTTTTAGTGGTTTTGTTTAAAGATTATAGAGAAGCGTGAAAAGAAAAAACTACGACTGTAATAATATTTATTATTTATTAGAAAAAAATCAGTCTTTATCCAACTGAGTTGGTACCTAGTTAACCCATGACACCGATCCATTCAAAGATTTAAAGTTATATATATGTGTGTGTGTGTACTAACTTTATTATATTATTTAAAAGGTTTTCATGAAACAAACACCTGAAAAATCATCCTTAAAGTTGAATTACTCACCTGAAGCACAATCTCATTTGTTTTTAACCTTATAAACTTTTTCCCCTCTGTTTTTGTTGATATATAGTGGCCATCAGAAGATGGATGAACATAACTTTGAACTAACTTTGCCAAGCCAATTTGCTTCCCATTACAAGCAAACATCAAAGTGGACTCTGAAATCACAGAAGATACTGATCAGTATTACGTGTTACAAATGGTGACATCTAATATGAGGATCATATGAACATAAGCACCTATAGGAGTGGAAAATATTCAGTCAAATTCAGTTTCAATCAAAAATGGCATAGGACCCTGGATAGAATTAGTGTTTGCTTCCACAGGTTGATCAGGTAAAAGATTTGGTTCAACTGCACCATTTTTATCACCAGCTTCTTGTAAAGCCGCTCCCGGAAGAACATACAGAGCCAGTCCAGACTTATCTTCATCAAGAATAGCAAACTGATTTTCGTTGGGGCCAACAAATGCTTCATCGCAACCTACAAATTGAAAGCAAAAATATCATAAATAAATAGTAGACATATATAGTAAGAGAATATTTATGGAAACAAAAATACTTTGACACGCATACCTTTGACCGTGTTTCCTTTGCTGTTAGCCAACTTTATATCAGTATTTTCCCAATAGAGGACTACTTCATTTGTAGTGCCACTAAACTCATAAACAGTGAGAAATAGATGCCGTTTCTTACTGTAAACTATACGTTTAGGGTAATATTCTACATTTCCTGGGATCTGAAACAAAGCATATTGTTAAAAACCAAAGCCGTGTCATAGCATTAAAAATAAATCTTTTCAAGCATTTACCGATGTGAAAAGTTTCTTGTAAATACTATCTCCACCAGAAGAAAGATTATAAGCCATGAGGTTCACACCATCTACATAAAAAGCCCTGACAGGGTAATGAAGAACTCGGTTCTCCTTATTGAAGAAATTGAGCTCCAAACGAAATGGCTGCCAATAAAGTAAGTCATGTCAATCAAATATCAAACAGAAGCCAAATAGATATTGATGCATAATCAATATCACAAAGCAAAGTACCTGGCAAACAGGAATGCCCTTCGGTTGATTTTTAGGATCCACAATAGTAATGAGAGGCAGCCTAGATATTGGGGCAGTTTTAGCATGACCTTCCAAGAAATGCTGCAAAAGTTGAGAAGGCAACCAGTAAAAGTAAATCAAACAGTTCAGGGTTGACATTAACATATATTGTAAAAATTAATATATAAAATGAATAAGGCATAACCCCAAAATTCACCCTTAACATTTGACCAAAAATCAAATGTTGAGGGCTAAAGTGCTTTAGAAAAGGGGCCAAACTGACTATTCAAGCAAACATCAAGGGTGGATTTTGACATTATGTCGTACTTAAATCTGAAATGAATGAAGTTCAATGAAGGAGCATACACTATAGAGAAATGCCTTCTGTGCAATACCTGATATTGTAAGATCACTTTGGCTGCCAAGAAGTTTATATATAAATGGTCAACAATGATACATGATTACATAAAATTTCCAACATTGAATCATATGAATGTAAAAATTTATCCATAATAACATGTAACAGCTACAGACATATGATCATAACACCAAAATAATAGAACATTTCAACCTTCAAAATTTATCTGCAAATCCAGATTTAAATTCCAAACTCTTAACTGTACTACAAAAGCAGTATTTTTGCTTGAAAAAACTTACCCCTTACTATGTTGCTCTTCCAGTTCTGCTTTAAGCTGATGATCAGCCAAAATTCCAGAGGCGCCCATGGATGAAAGCTTCTCCTTCAAGACAGAAGCTGCAAATGATATCCACTTTCAGCAAATATAATCAAAAGGTTAAGCAGGATATCACCTATGTTACAAAGATTCAAGAGATGAGTCCGTGAGTGTGAGATATGGAGATGTCCCAACACAGGCATGCTAAATTTTTTATAATTCTTTCAGTATGTATGGGGATCATACCTTAGTTTTAAAAGGCGCAAGGTGCGCCGAGGCACAAAGGGTTCCTAGAGCCTAGGCGCAGGGCGAAGGCGCGCGCCTTTTGTAGGAGAGGCGTACCTTTGTGCTAAAATATTTATAAATCAATTCTAGAGCATATTCATACCCATTATCCACTATTTTACTCCAGAAGCATTTAATCTCCTTCCCACACCCCACACTATGTTCCTTCACCATTACTTATCCCTCCTCAAGACTCATTTCTACCATTCGCAAAACTCCAGTTTCAAAACATTTCACCATAGTGTTGGTTACATTGTAATAAACCAGGGGCATTTTCTAAATTCAAAAAGTCATCACATAAATACTTTAAAATAATCAAATATGATTTTAAATCAATACCCTTGTCTAATATTTATTGAATGCGTATAATTATAAAAGTTTGAAGGCTATGGAATTAAGATGATTCAATATTTGTTTAAACCAAAATGATTTCACTTTTAAGTACAAGTCAAACTACTACTAAAATTCTTCTTCTTCTTTTTATAAGAATAGGAGGCCTCATTAAAAACCCCTTCATGATTAATGGAGCTCGTAAAAAGCTCTTTAATCAGCGGAAGGAGAAAAAAGTGTCTTAGAAATTCATTAAAATCATAATAAGTACATAGGAATTACAACACCCTAAAGCTCCCTTAAGGAAATAGAGTACCAAAAACATCCCTAAAGAACAACACATAAATCAACATATTCCAGCCTTAGCTAGGACATCTTCCTTTAGATTAGTTGTCTTATTAACCCATCTAATAACACCTTCAAAAACTCTAAGCCTTTCAACAATATCTTTAACAATATAAGCATAAACATCTGGACATAATTCAACTTTCTTAATCCAGTCTACTGCCACCCTGTTGTCACTCTCAATAATCAAACGATCCTTAATCAGCTCACGAAAAGAGACAAAAAACGATAAACCCTTTTGAATAGCTTTTAATTCCATCAAGGTAGGAGACCCCGGACCAGCAAACTCCTTAAAAGAGCCTAAGATCGAACCAGAAACATCTTTTAAAACGCCTCCTAACACACTTCTCTTCCAATTACTGGTAGTAGCAGCATCAACATTTAATTTAATAAAGCCCTTGGGAGGAAGAGACCAAGGGAACTTAGATATAATAGGGTTAGAGTAGAAAGAACAAAATCCCCTAAGGAAGGATCAGATATAAGTGAATCCTTCAAGATAGAAACCTCTTTATACTTTGCTAAAAACCATGAAGCAAGCCTAAACCTTGCTAAGAAGAAGAATTCAGCTTGATCTAACTTCCCCCTTCAAACACAATAGAATTCTTGATTTTCCAAGTGGTCCAAAGGACAACCCCTGGAATAAATGATCATATAGCTGAGTTAGTCTTCAAATCATCCCAGGCTAGGAGAAAAAATTACTTTTTTAATTTTTACAGTAATTAAAGGATAAAGTTAAAAAAAGGAATTTACTAAATCAGTATTTGTAATATTAAATATAATTTAAAATATATATGATTTTAATTAACATCACTAATATTAATTAATATTTTTTAAATAAAAAGTAACATAAATGCGGACCTTTTTGTGTTAATTTGTTTTTTGTGCAAAAGATAAAGCAATGACTGCTGTTACCGTCCATTTAATATTTACCAAATTATACCCATCTCACACTTGTTCTTGAACCATAAAACACTTCCTATCTATCTCACACGTGTCTTCTTGAACCATAAGACACTTATAGCCACTAGGGTGTATTCGGTTCGGTTTTTTACCAAAAACTGAATCGAACCGAAATAAACGGTTTTTCAATATTTAAATCGAAACCGAATAGTTAAAAAATTGAAAAAACCGAAACCGGTTTTTTCGGTTCGGTTCGGGTTTTTTAATAGTTCGGGTTTTTCGGTTTGGTTCGGTTCAGTTTTTCGGTTTTTCAATGAAAAAATCACTTGAAACTATAATTTTTTTTACAAAAATTGCCTATTCGGTTCAATATGGAACAAATGGGTTCCATATGAAAACCCGAACCGAACCGAATTAAAAAAATAAAGCCTTTAAACCGAATCGAAAACCGAACCGTTTAAACTAAACCAAATCAAACCGAACCGTTTTATTCGATTCGTATCGATTTTCTCGATTTCGTTGCTCACCCCTAATAGCCACCTTCATTGAATATCACAGGCAAATGAACAGCAAAATGTTAGAAAGAAAGAAACTGATCGACGGCAGGTTAGGACCAAACATATCTTTTCACCCCGCCTCCCTCAGTCTGTTCTTCAACTCTCCCGAAAGCGCAGAAGCTGTGTGCCTTGCGCTCCTTCGAAAAGCGCCAAAAGCGAGCGCTTAAGTTTGTCGCTTTGGTTACCCCTTTAGAAGCATTTTCTTCTGCTCCTATAAGCGCCTTGCGCTTTTTAATACTAAGGATCATACCCTCATCATAACCATGTCCAAACATGTATAGTATAAAGGTGCCTCATATGGATATTTGAGGGAAAAAATGAAGAGTCCAGGTAATACAGGATATCACAGCAAAGAATATTCATAGTGATTTACAGAAAATATAACTTAATGTAGTGAGAGAAGCATGAAAAGGCATAGACAGTTGTAGTTATTTTTAGTGATAAAGCAAATGTACACGACATTTCAACATAAAAACTGAGCAATTCTCTCAAGAATCAAGATAAGATGAACGCGGATTCAGTAAAAGCAGTGCCCAAGAGAACAAAACATTCAGTTCTGCTTCAATCGCCTCAATGAGGATATTGAAAGAGAATGTTCCTATAATATACCTTAAGAACCAGGGATGGATGAAAAGCAAAAGCACCGGCACCAACAAGCTTAATGGTATTATCAACTGAAGGAAACAAACAGGAAAGCAACAGGATAATTAAGCATGACAAATATAATAAAATAAAAAAAGTAAAAATCATTTTTCCTCAACTTACGTTGTAGAGTTTAATGAACGGCATATGTATGAATGTTGTATGCCCGAATCACACCTTCTGCATACGCTATGCACTTTGGTTTTACAAAAAATGGCAGGACCCAGAAAACAAACAGCTTTTCAGTACATTCTTAATCATGAGATTGAAAATGATCATATGAGATATAAATAGATCAAATTGCATTAACTGATATCTAGATAGTTGCATAAGTCGTAACATAAGATGATAGCAAGCTACGCAGATTTTCAGAATATTGAGCAGATTTCTTACTGTTAGCAAAATTGAATTAATTAAATTTTTAGGAATTCAGTTCCAGCCAAGAAGAAAAGATCCATTCTAACAATCATTCTGTCAGAATTAAATGAAACAAGCATGTTCAGCATCACCACTTCACCACTACATTATATATCTCACGTACATTAAATGATCAAGCCAAAAACCAAGGACGGATTCAAATTTCACGTTTCAATCATATCAGAAAGCAACAAAAGATAATAAATATGATAAAAATAAAACCTATCACTGGAAAATGACAAATGTACCAGAACAGGAAGCCGAGGATGACAGGCAAGATTCACAACAGGTTTCTTCAAGTCTGTCTTTATTTTTGTAGGTGCTCTTCCACCTTCAACAGTCCCAACAACTTCACGTATGACAGTAAAGATATCAGAAACGTCATTAAACTTCCATAGTATAATAATATGATGATGCAAGTGTAGACACACATTTTTCGTCCTTACATAAAAAATTATATATAGAATATATAATATATAATTTATTTGTTATTTTATATATGTTATTTACATGTCCTGATTTCTCTTCTTTACAGGCCTAAATAAGAAAGCAAAGCCCGTTACACAACAACCAGGCCCACATGTGCCAGACCCAACACAGATCAACTAGGGTTCCCAAACCCTAACAATTTCTCGTCCAGTGCCGTTTCCAGAACCAAGCCAGCAAGTCCCCACGCCCCACGTCTCTGGCCACGCACGCAACCGTCACCGGATTTCACAGCAACCATCAACAACCCCCACAAGCAAACAATGAGAGTTAGAGTTTAATTAGGACTCAAACTAGGCTAAAAATAACATGCATTTTTTTTTTGTATAAATAGTGATGTAATCTCATGGTTAAGGAGTCTGGTACACGATTCGGATTACACGAATTAACAGAAAAATACTAGGAAACTCAAAGCAACCAAGGCGTTTTTGTAAGAACTTTTTGAAGTGGAAATAAAAGAAAGGTATATCTTTGCTTACCTTCTTGCTCGAGTGGTCCTTGCTTGTGTGCTTATCCGTCGCTTTTGGTTCAGATCGAACCCAAAAAAACGTTTTTAGCCGAGGAACAAAAAGGGAGTTTCAGATCTTCTTTTCTAGATCCGCATTCCTACGAGGCTAGTTTTGAAAAAACGTTTAGATTTTTGAGTTGTGGGTAAAAAATAATTTTTAAAAATATTTTTTTGAGATTCGTCGTCGATGAACGACGGCCGGCGCCGTTCAACGGCGGCCGACGAGGCGGCTTGCGACGGCTGATGGCCGGTTTCTGGAAACTCACGGCCTCTGTTCTTGGAAACTCAAGAATATTACAGAGAAAATGGGAAAAGAGGATGGCTCTGGTTTTTGAAATGGGTCAAATGAAGGTTTTTTAGTTTTTTTAGCATATGTATCAGACTCGCGTGTTTCAAATAAAATAGGGTAAACTACCCTTTTGGTCCCTCGTATCTTTTAAAGAGTTATTTCACCCCAAATTAAAATCAATCCTTAATATTTCTTTGACTTTCGACCTCTATCCTGTAGTTCTTTCAATTTAGTCCTTTTTCTGGATTTTAATTTTAATCATCTTTCTATATTACATATGTAATATCTATATATATTTTATATTATTATTAGTTTTTTTTATTTTTCAGTTTCGTATATATGTATTATTAATATTTTATTATTATTATTATTATTATATATATATATATTTTGTATTTTATCTTATTATTTCCTTACTTTTTTATTACTATATTTATTTTCATTATTTAATTTTTCTATTATTATTATATATTTTTTTCTCTCTCCCACATTTAGCTATTATATATATATGGTATTAATATTATTATATGTTTTTATTAATTTTACTTATGTGACTTTATACGCTATTATTTTACATTTTTTATATACATATATACATTTTATTTAATTCTTATCATTTTATATTTGTAGATATTATTTTATTTCACTTTTATTATGCTTTCCTTATTTATTTATTCCTTTTTATTTCCGTTTTATTGTGTCTTATTTTCTTATTTCTTTATTCTTTCATTTTTTTTACCTTATCATATGTTGTCATACTTGTCTTCATTTTTATTTCCTTCATGTTCTATATCTCCATGTCAATTATGTTACTTTTGGTGTATCGTCTATTGTTATTTTTGTTCTTTATTTCGTTTTTTTTATCCTTCAATTTTAATTCATTTTCATCACCTTTTCTAATACGCATTTTGGCTCTTAAAAGGTTCACTTTCAAATCAATCAATTGTAAGTAGTCGAGATCGTTATTTCACCTCTTAATTTAAATTTACAATTTTCTTAAACTAAGACAACTGGAAATTACGTAGTACCGAAAGGGCGGTTCAAGGGTGCTAATCCTTCCTTGACCGCAACCGACTCCCGAATCCGACACATCTTTGGTAAGATGCAGATCAAGTAATAAATAAGGTACCCGATTAACCTATTTATTTTTTAAAATAAATGATCGGTGGCGATTCCAATCCACATTTTTCAAGTCGAAGCCCAATCCCGGGGCCCAACCGAAAGACGGTTGCGACAGCAAGTACAAAAAATTATACCAGATAACACATGGAGCAAACTAATCTGTTACACTCATTCTCTTGTGAAAACCAAAAATTACAACAGGTTGGAGAGGTGTCAAAGCAATATGAACTTCAGTTTCAGATGAAATGTGTTCTGTCTTCTTTTCTGGTGAATGTAAAACACAAGTTTGCTCAGCGTCAAAGTCACAAGAACGTATTGTACAATCCTGCAACAGGACATTTTCATAAAAATAAAGGTTATGATTAGCTTAAGGAAACTTCATACAGAGGGGAACTGTAAGGAAAAAAATAAGAGGGACCCTTCCATGTAAAAGCAGAAGGAGCTTATAGTCATTATGCATTAAATCAAAATGTCAGATGATGTGAATATTTCATCTTCAAAATGTAATTTAATGCCAAAGTAAATAAAAGGGGTACAGTCCGTAAGGCAGTGACCTTGATATTTATTAAAAAAAAAGGCAGTGACCTTGATGAAAACATCAAGAATAAGCCACCGGTATCTTAATTATAATCTTATAATAATGAAAAAGCATCCTATTCTTTTAAAGCATATTTAACTTCAGAGTTTAAAAATTAAAAATGTTTTTTCTTCTTTTAAAGCATATTTAACTTCAGAGTTTAAAAATAAAAAGCTATCCAAATTATAAAAAACAAAATATTGAAAAAATGTTGCACTGTAGTTGACTAGTAGGGATTACCGATGATGCAAGTGCCGATTGCTGCAGAAACAAGAGCCTGAGTAGGATGAAAAGCTGCTGCATGCGGCTGCAACGGTTTGAGAATGCCTCTTGCGACATGGCGTAGATCCAAGTGTTGCAACGTCGTCCAGACGTCCACTATAAGCAGAAACATTTGCAAGGACTTAGGCACGAAGTTTGTTGAAGTGGGGAAAAATGGCTGCTCTGGCTGGTTGCAAGGACTTAGGCACGAAATTTTGGGCCTAAACTTTATTTGCCCATTACAAGATTCGTGTCGGTTTCACTATAGTAATACTTCCGTTTAGCCCATTTTCCGATTACATGGGCCAAATTAAGCAGAAACATTTGCACTTTCAATTTAATCAGTGTCAGCTAAAAAAAAAACTCATATTAAACCGAATTTTTCTAGTCAACTCGAACTATCAAGTGGTCTGAAATCAAATATTATTTCCAATACTGTTTTAAAACTTGCAACATATTGTACTATTTAGTATTTCGACATATTTAATAATTTTATTGCTTTTATATTCGACACAAAATATAAAAAACTAAACACGACATGCATTTTGCTTAGCCATCAAGCTTCTCTTATACTCGAACGGTTAACCCTGTAGGTCACCGTCAGCAGTGGCTATCAATGCCTAATCTTTGGCATGAATAAGACCCCACTGTCTGCATAGCAAATCCACAAACTATACACTGTAAAATATCAACAGAAACAAATTTTGGCCCTATACTCGAGAGTGCCAAATGTGAACAAAGTATCATCATCTGAGAATTTCAAGCTTCAACTACGTTAATTTCATTTTATGAAAAGTGCAGAAGTTTGGTTTTCTAAATTATATGGTTTCCATGCTGAGAAGATAACTTGCGGCTCTTAATCCCGCCTTGTCACATCCTAATGGAAACAGAGTGAAAATGTTTTCTTTTTTCTATCCATTAATATGCCTTTACTGCAGAAGGTGATTTTACAAGAGCCTGTCAACTTCATCACATAGGGAGAATGGGTCAAATTCTCTCATCTATTGCAAAAGCCAGGATTTGAGTTGTGATGGTGGGTGTAATTGTGATTGTTGAACCCATGATTCTGTGAAGAAGGTATTGTCCGTGGATCCATATAAGGTCTGTAAGGCAATGATCTTACCATTGTTGAAGAGGATCCAATATCATTGCCGTCTAACTGCTGAAGTACACTCTGGTGATGAAACTTTTGTTGAGGTTGATAATAATTTAGGACGGGATCGGCATTGGAATGACGAATTACACCTAAATCATGAGTGGAATGAACACGTTTTGTTGTAGGTATTGTCCGTAGATCCATATAAGGTCTGTAAGGCAATGATCTTACCATTGTTGAAGTGGATCCAATATCATTGCCGGCTAACTGCTGATGTGCACTTTGGCGATGAAAATTCGGTTGATAAGAATTTAGGACGGGATTGGCATTGGAATGATGATGGACACCTAAATCATCAGTGGAATGAACAGATTTTGTTGAAGTAGGTACTGTCCGAGGATCCATATAAGGTCTGCAAGGCAATGATCTTACCATTGTTGACGTGGATCCAATATCATTGCTGGCATACTGTTGAGGTGCATTCGGGTGATGAAAGTTTTGTTGAGGTTGATAAGATTTTAGTACGAGATTGGCATTGGAATGATGAATGACACCTATATCATCAGTGGACTGAACAGGTTTTGTTGAAGCAGGTACTGCCCGTGGATCCATATAAGGTCTGTAAGACAATGATCTTACCATTGTTGAAGTGGATCCAATATCATTGCCGGCAAACTGGTGAGATGCACTCTGGTGATGAAAGTTTTGTTGAGGTTGATAAGAATATAGGGCACGATCAGCATTGGATTGATGAATGAAACCTATATCATCAGTGGAATGAACATGTTTTTCTTCCTTCGCAACTCTCTGCTTTCCCCCTGTATTACCACTGTTACCAGGACTAATACCTCTCTTAGTAAGAGTAAGACTCTCAGAGAGTACAGAGGTCTCACTAATCCTCCCAGGACAAAATCTAAAGAAATGATCTTTAGAACCACAGTTGAAACATGCTCCTAACATCCTCCAACATTCTCCAGAATGTCTGCTACCACAATGATCACACTTAGGCACCGATGATACCCCTACTAACCCTCCAGCATTTGGCCTCTCAGATGGTACGAAGGTACCACTCGTACCTAATTATAAATGAAAAATGTGATGTAAAATTCCAGTAGCTCAATAGTAAAAAGATATGGAATTCACAGAAACATAGTTTGTTTTCACCATCTTGCTCTTGTACATACCAACATCACCATTTTGCAGAGTTGTTGGAATTGGCCTCTCAGAAGGTACAGAGGTAACACTCGTACCTAATAATAAAGAAGAAACATGTGATGTAAAATTTCAGTAGCACAATAGTCAAAAGAAATGGAGTTCACAGAAACATATTTTGCTTTCACCATCTCGCTCTCTAACATACCAACATCACCAACTTGCTGAGTGGTTGGAGTAGGTCTCTCAGACGGTACAGAGGTAGCATTCGTACCTAATTATGAAAGGCAAAACACGTGATGCAAAATTCCAGTAGCTCAATAGTCAAAAGAAATGGAATTCACAGAAACATAGTTTGCTTTCACCATCCTGCTCTCTTACATACCAACTTCACCATCTTGCTTAATTGTTGGAGTAGGCCTCTCAGAGGGTACAAAGGTAGCAGTCATCCTCTTAGACGGTACACCGGAAGCACCCCTCCTCATTGGACAGCTTCTTATGATATGACCGTTAGAACCACACCTGAAACACACTCCTAAAGCCCTCAGACATTGTCCTGAATGCCTCTTACCACAATGATTACACTTAGACACTGATGGCCCCCCTACTAACCCTCCAGTACTAGAGACTCTTAACCTTGACTTTTGCTTCTTTTTCACTTGTCCAACGAGAGAAGACACTTGATAAGCATTAGCTGTATTCCAATCCCTTGGAATAGAGGCTTTTCCTTGTGCCTTATCAATCTTTCCCTTCTCAAGTTCACTTGCTTTTCTCTTTTTTGATCGTCTTGATTGATGTGAATGCTTTTGGTGTTTTGTACCTAATTATAAAATAAGAAACATGTGATGTAAGATTCCAGTAGCTCAATAGTCAAAAGAAATGGAATTCAAAGAAACGTAGTTTGCTTTCACCATCTCCCTCTCCTACATACCAAAATCACCATCTTGCGTTGTTGGAGTAGGCCTCTCAGATGGTACATATGTAGCACTGGGCCTCTCAGACAGTACAGAGGTAGCACTAGTACCTAATTATAAAAGAAGAAACATGTGATGTTAAATTCCATTAGCTCAATAGTCAAGAGAAATGGAATTCACAGAAACATAGTTCGCTTGTACCATCTTGCTGAGTTGTTTGAATAGGCCTCACAGACAGTACACGGGTAGCCCCCATACCTAATAATAAAAGAAGAAACATGTGATGTAAAATTCCAGTAGCTCAAGAGTCGAAAGAAATGGACTTCACAGAAACATAGTTTGCTTTCACCATCTCACACTCTTACATACCAATACCACCATATTGCTTAGTATTTGAAGTAGGCCTCTCAGACGGCACAGGGGTATCACTCAGCCTCTTAGATGGTACAGAGGTAGCACTCAGCTTCCCAGGACAGCTTATAAGGAAATGGTCTTTGGAACCACACCTGAAACAGGCTCCTAAAAGCCTCCTACATGCTCCTGAATGCCTCTTACCACAATGATTACAAATAGGCACTGCTGGTCCCGCTATTAACCTCGACTTTTGCTTCTTTTTCAGTTGTCCAACTGGAGAAGACACTTGGTAAATATTACGTGTATACCATAACCTTGGAGTAAATGCTTTTGTGTGTGTCATATCAATCTTTCCCCTCTCAGTTTCAGTTGCTTCTCTGTTTTTCAATGGTCTTGATTGATGTGAATCCCTTGGGTGTTTTGTACCTAATTATAAAAGAATATGTGATGTAAAATTTCAGTAGTCCAATAGTCAAGAGAAATGGGATTTCAGAAACGTAGTTTGCTTTCACCATCTCTCTCCTACATACCAACATCAGCAGACCACTTCCTTATTCTTTCTATTGCTTTTACCAGTCTTGCAGTGTGTAGTTTGCGCTTCTCAGGACGTACATTTCTTCTTTCAGCCTCTCGTTTGCGCTTCCCAGGACATACATTTCTTCTTTCAGCCTCATCGCACCAACGCTGATATAGAAAAAATTGTATAAACAAACCAAGTCTATCATTGGTATTACCTACAATGTAGATTTTTCAGTCAAATACTTACCCGTCTGTAAGTTCTCGATTTATAAAGGTTACGACCCTTTAGGACCCTTATTCTTTCTATTTCTTTTACCAGTCTTGCAGCATTGCCTCGTTTGTGCTTCTCAGAAAGTACATTTCTTCTTTCAGCCTCATCACACCAACGCTGATGTAGAAAAAATTTGTATAAACAAACCAAGTCTATCATTGGTATTACCTAAAAATGTAGATTTTTCAGCCAGATACTTACCTGTCTGTAAGTTCTTGATTTATAAAGGTTACGACCCTTTACGAGCAAAGGAAATAATGGGGGAAATTTCTTAGTCCCCTTACTCCATAATACTTCAACCTAATACATCAAAAGCATGGAACTGGTAAATACAGTCATCAAATTCGTAAACAAATTATTGGGAAAAAGGAAGAGAAATGACAGAAAATGGATGAAAGGAACAGTAGTAATCTATCGCTAATTATCACTCAGCTTGCTAAAATCAACCATTTTTTAACATATTTTTGTCCTGGATACGAAAAAATATGTGCCACTTACTGGACTTTTATCTCCCTGACATAAGATAGTGTTGGAATTACCGTAAATGTATGTTGTTGTTTAGCTTTGCCATAGCTTTCCTTAACAACCCTTCCTGCAATAGTTCTCTTCTCCAGAAGTCTCACATGCCGCCTAGTCATATTATCGGACCTGTTTCAAAATCCAACCCTTGATTTACATAGCCCAAAAATGACAAGGAAATGTACAATGAGAAATGGATAAAATATAGAGTATCTGCAATGAAAGAGATTGCAGTGTTAGCTTGGAAAAGGGATTACTTCTTATAAAACTTCTGAGTAAACAAAACAACATCTCCTTTACAAACATCACCTGCATCATGAAGAGACAATAACTACAAATTATCGCTCAAATAGTCAAAACATTAACTTAAATGAGAAAAAAGAAGGTGAAGAAAAAGCAACTTACCAGAACAGTCTATTAAAAAGGATGACTTGGGATATAAGGCTTCAGCATTCCCATCTTTTATTCTGAGAAAAGAACAAATAGAATGTATTGTTGTTACTCCACGATATTAACACTGATGTTTCAAGGTTATAAGAGATTTACTGAAACTGGAAACATAAAATCAAAAGAAAAGGCATAAAGCATGATTGATCTCCGAAGTTGACCACTTCTCCCCCCTTGGTCCTTGAGTTTTTTTGGATCACATTAGTCCCTGAATTTGTATTCTGTAACAAGTTAGTCCTCCCTCTTAAGACCAAATTTAGGGTTCCAAAACTCTACCGTACGATGTTTGTAGTATGATGTGTGAACTTCAATTTGGTACTGATGGTTCGAATTATAACTTTATGTGTTAACAGAACAAAAGTCTCAAAGTGTGCGACTTGAAACTGGATACTCAGTAATCTGGATATGGCAGTTTCGCCTAGCCTATTTTGAGCACTTATAACTCGCAATATAAAAAGAATCTAGATATGAAATTTATACCCAAGTGAAGTTCGCATATCGAACCAAATTAGAACCGCAATAATGGAATTATGGATGTTAGAAATGTTATTTACGAAGGCCAAAAGTTAGCTACTCGAAACTGCCATACCCAGATTTTTGGATTTCTAGTTTCAAGTGGCACACGAGACTTCAGTTCTCTTAGCAGTTAGCACATAAAGTTCTAATTCTATCCATTAGTACCAAATTGAAATTCACATATCAAACTTGTGCTCTGACTTATTATGACACTGTATGGCGGAGTTCCAACATCCTAAAGTTCGTTGTTCATAACCGGAAAACCCATGAAAAAAAATGTTAGAGACTAATGCAGACCAAAAATAAACAAATTCAAGGACTAATTTGGACCTAAAATAAACAAATCACAAGACTAATGTGGACCAACAAATTAGAAACTAACGGTGATGAGATGAAGGATTAACTTGTGTTACAAAATACAAATTGAGGGACTAACGTGGGGAAAATGATCAAAACAGGGGACTAAATCATGCTTTATCCCCAAAACAAAATTCTAAAAATGTGAAGAAAGTACCTCCAATGCTCAAGAATTCTTTGTTGACACACTGCCTTAGTGCCTGTGATAAGGAGGCCAAGGTTTCTCAAATAAGCTTTGAGTTCTTTCAAGCTTAAGCTTTCGAAGGCACCCCCTTCTATGAAACAACAGAAACATAAATTGTAAGGGCATTTTTTCAGATCAAATTCAATCTTCTATTTTCGAAAAAAGAAAAAATTGAATTCTAAGAAGAGAAAGATGACCATTGAGAATTGCAATGACTTGATTGCAGAGAGAATTATCGTTCTCAGTCTGGTCATTATAGTTCAAATCGTTCCCTTCGTCTTCCTCTTCCTCCCTGGTTTCATTTCCACTGATGCTATGAAAATTAATCAAAATTAGAGGGGGGGGACAAAATAATTCAAACAGAAATAGGAATTTAGATACCCCCAATGCTCAAGAATTCTCTGTTGACACAGTGCCTTACTGCCAGTGATACGAAGGCCATGATTTCTCAAATAAGCTTTGAGTTCTTTCATGCTTAAGCTTTCTAAGTCACCTCCTTCTATGGAACATAAGGATCATAAATTGTAACAGCATTTTATCATATCAAATTCAATCTTCTATTTTCAGAACAAAAATGAATTCTAAGAAGAGAAAAATGACCTTTGAGAATAGTAACGACTCGAGTGCAGAGAGATTCGTCGTTCTTGGTCCGATCATTATTCCCTTCCTCTTTCTCTTCTTCCTCAGTTTCATCTCCACTGATGATATGAAAATTAAATCAAACTTAAAAGGGGGGGCGGGAACGAATTAATTGAAACTAAAATAGGACTTTAAATACCTCCAATGCTCAAGAATCCTTTGTTGACACACTGCCTTAGTGCCTGCGATACGGAGGCCATGATTTCTCAAATAAGCCTTGAGTTCTTTCAAGCTTAAGCTTTCTAAGTCAACTCCTTCTATAGAACACAAAGATCATAAATTGTAAGGGCAGTTTTGTTGGATCCAATTCAATATTCTATTTTTGAAACAAAATAAATGACCTTTGAGAATGGTGATGACTCGATTGCAGAGAGAGTCATCGTTTTCAGTCCGATCATTATTGTCTGAACTGTTCCCTTCCTCTTTCTCTTCTTCCTCATTTTTAATTCCACTGATGATATGAAAATTATATCAGACTTAAAGGGGAAAACTGAATTAATTGAAATTGAATTAGGAAATAAAATACCTCCAATGCTCAAGAATTCTCTGTTGACACACTGCCTTAGTGCCTGTGATACGGAGGCCATGGTTTCTCAAATAAGCTTTGTTTTCTTTCAAGCTCATGCTTTCCAAGTCACCTCCTTCTATGCAACACAATTGTAAGGGTGCTTTTTCGGATTAAATTCAATCTTCTAATTTCAAAACAAAAAATTGAATTCTAAGAAGAGAAAAATTGCCTTTGAGCATAGCGATGACTTGATTGCAGAGTGATTCATCGTTCTCAGTCCCACCATTATTGTCCAAATTGTTCCCTATGTCTTCCTCTTTCCCTTCTTCCTCAGTTTCATCTCTACTGATTATATGAAAATCAAATCAAACTTAAAGGGGGAAAACGAACTAGTTGAAATTGAAATAGGAACTTAAATACCTCCAATGCTCAAGAATTCTCTGTATGCACACTGCCTTGGTGCCTGTGATACGGAGGCCATGGTTTCTCAAATAAGCTTTGAGTTTTTTCAAGCTTAAGCTTTCTAAGTCTCCTCCTTCTATGGAGCACAATTATCAGAAAAATGGCATTTTTTTAATCAAATTCAATCTTCTATTTTTAAAAGAAAAAACCGAATTCTAAGAAGAGAAAGATGACCTTTGACAATGGCGATAATTCGATTGCAGACAGATTGGTCGCTCTCCCAATGCTCAAGAATTCTCTGTTGACACACTGCCTTAGTGCCTGTGATACGGAGGCCATGGTTCCTCAAATAAGCTTTGTGCTCTTTCAAGCTTAAGCTGTCTAAGTCGCCTCCTTCTATGGAACACAAGGATAAAAAATTGTAAGGGCATTTTCTTGGATCAGATTCAATCTTCTATTTTCAAAACAAAAAACGAACTCTAAGAACAGAAAATACCTTTGAGAATAGCAATTACTCGGTTGCAGAGAGGCTCGTCGTTCTTAGTCCCATCATTATCGCCCGAATCGTTCCCTTCGGCCTTGCCTTTATTATTAGCCATTTGATTGAACTCCAACGGAAAAGCGAAATTTACGACTGTAAGCTCAAATTAGTTTTTTTTATTATTGACTTGGCCATGCCAAAAAAAGAAGTTTATTTATAAAAACATGTAAAGGGAGAAGAAGAGCAAAAAGAGTGCGATCAGAGAGATTAAAATCAGGAAAGGGGGATAACGAAAAAGAAAAGGGTTCGTTTTAGAAAAAGCGGATAATTGCATAAATTGTTATTAAATTATATAAATTTAGACTACAATCCTTTAATTTTGTTAGATGAGGTATTAGATCTTAAATAAGGTTAGCAATTTGGATTCGAGCATTGTGATTATAACAAACTGGGTTAGAATATAACATTAAAAAATTATAATTAATATTAGAATAAATTACAATTTGGTAACTGAATTTTACTTTCTTTTATTTCACTTATTATACTTTAAATCTTTTTAATTTCCTTATTGAACTTAATATATTGGATTTTTTGTCACTCAACCGTTTTCTCACTAACGGTGTTATAAATGGGTTGTTGTTTTATAGATGCAAAATGACATCATTTTGGTGAAAATTTTATATTTTAAAACAGCATCGTTTTAAGGCTATTAATTATTTAATAGTCGAGTGATCAAAAAACCTAATGTATTAAGTTCAATGAGAAAACTGAAAACTTTTAAAGTTCAATGAGTAAAATAAGAGAGAGAGGAAAGTTCAATGATGAAATTTGTAATTTACCCTTAATATTATAAATAAAACATACAAATATCAAAAACAAAAACTTATATATTTGATTATGATATAAATTTAGATTTTTTGTCTTTAATTTTTAAGGAATATCAATGAGAAATTTATTATTACAGTTTAATTTTAAAGGAAGTTGAAGGATTCTAGGTTAGATTTGTTGAAATCGAGGTATTTTTTTGATGAAACATACGTTGATTTACATTCAAGATGTCAAAAAGGAGTGAATTAAATATTTTGAAATCTAACAATCGACAACAACGACGAACAATGTCGATCGACAGAGATCGCAACAATGGTGGTGAGTGATGACAAACAACGGGAGACTTTGGTTGAATTCAATGGTTAAATGGATATTTTCAAAATGATAATTCATCGAAAGTCTAAGGTCAAGTTAATATTCTATCCAAAGTTCAAGAGTGAAAACACAAATTAACTTTTTTTGGCTAACATGTCAAGCGATCAATCTAATAAGAGTTAACAACTCAGTGATCAAAATATAACAATCAATAATGTAATTAATTAAAATTTAATAAACCAATAACATAAATAATTGAAATATAATTTTTTTTAAAAGCAAATAAAAATGTACAAATATGAAAGAAGAGTATCAATCCGATTATTTATCCTTATAATTGTTCTTGTCACAACCATGTGACATATTTTCATTTATGATTCTAATTATATGGTCTGCATGTGGAGAAATATAATTGAGGTCTTCCTCTTGCGTTTTAACATTTTTATGAAAACAAATTCATCAAGCAGATTAAAGAAATATTATTTTATTTAGAAGTATTAAATTCAAATAATTACGCCCGCAAAGAGTGTTTACGATATTAATAATTAAAAAAAAATCTTCCTTAACAACTTTGTCAATTGTCTTTCCTTAACTCTTCCTGCAATAGTTTTTATAAGATTGGTCCTTATTTAAAAGAGAGAATGGAATGATAAAACGTAATCTAAAATTCTATTAAATGCTTAAAAAATATGAATTTCTCCCTTATCTCCAATTCCCAACCTCGCGATTATAATAATTTAGTAAGAGCAAACGATTTTCGATACTAGAACAGTGACGATAGTGGCAAGCGGAAATACGCAATAACACCTTCCATCACAAATTATACAGCACAGAAGAGGAGCTGATGATACAACAGCAATCAATTGTCTCACGATAGCTAGACCAAATATGTCAGATTTTTCAAGCCTCTTGTAACCAGTTTTATATACATACATGTACATATATTGAACACATTTGTTTAAACTACAACTTTACAGTGGAAAAACACATAAAAATGACTAAAAGCTTTTTCAATGTTAAGTTGCACTTGCACGAGGCTTCACTTATGTGTTTTTCATCCATTCATTTAAAAAAAAAAAAACCCTGTGCCAGACGAATGGAAATAAGCCATAACCGATGCGCTTTGGGATGGGATGCGGTGATTGAGATGGCAAAATTCACTCTACCACTTATCATACTCGGGCTAGCTCGCAAAGACCTCACCCGATTCATTTATTAGGCAAACCAGCTCAGGAAGGATGTAATTCTTGGAGCTCTTATTAAGTTTTACAGTTTCTATTGAGCTTTTGTGAGGGTTCGGCTAGATACACCGTGCAACAATTTGACAAATCCGAGAAAACTTAGCTTCCCATCTGTATGCCTAATCCAGTCGTGAAGAACAGCATGAACAGGCACGGATGGCCCCAGTCCAAGTTCCTGAAAAATAATGGTAAAAATGGAGATAACATGGAACCTTAAAATGCGCAATGTTAGGTTTTATAACAACGAATTTTGCTAATGAGTACCCTGCGGGCACTCTTTAAAGTACGGAAAATTTTATCGACAACTGCACTTCATATAATGCTATTGCTATAAATAATATCTTAACTGCACTCTTTAGAGAGTGCCCAAAGGCCATACATTAGCAAAACCCTTTAAAAATATGATCTATGCAACTTCCACTCTTTCTTAAAGTACTCGAGTCATGCCCGTGTCAAAAGCATTTTTGAGCATACGGGTATATAATCATACAAACCCTCCAGATCATGGAAAATCTAAGAGAAAAAATGAACATATTCATGTGGCACACATATCCATACTCGACACTCGCATCCGTGTATGAGTAATATATACCATAATAAACATCACCATCAATAGTAGTTGAAAACATTTACAACAAATACGAGAATTAAATGAGGCTTAAAGGCCCATTAAAGGGAAACAAATGCTCCTTAAAACACTTTTTTTCATAATATTTTAGGTTGCATCCTACCTAAAATGTTATGTTTTTTCATAATATTATCGGTCGTGTCCAATTCCGTCATTTTCTAACCTTGAATTATTAGGTTGTACCACAGAACTACCCGAGGTGTCATAACATGTATAGACCAAGAATCAATAGTCCATAAGGTCGAAACGAGAATCATTTTCTAAAACAGGTGAATATTGAAGTCTAATTCTTGTGAAGGACCAAAATATAAATGTCATACATATGACTCATTAAGTTTTTCATGGCTGTCAACCTGTGCACGTCTTCTATATAATGTGAAAATGTTGTATAATAGGAATTAAATAATCATCCAAATAGGGCAATAGATGCAAGAAGTTTCCTGAGTCATGCAAGATAAGAGCATCATACCGAAAGAAGCTCTTCGATGACAATAGGTCTATTTCCATCCTTCTCAAAGAGTTCATAAGCACAACGTGCATGTTGTTCCCACCGATCAAGGGCCTCTAGCTGATGAACATTTAATGCAGCTGCACAGAATTCATCAAAGTCCATCCGTCTGTATTGAAGTGCATTTAGCTACCGCAAAAAGAAAACGTGTAAAGATTCAGACCACCATTTAAATTTTATATGCATTTCCTCATAAAAAAAAGATAATGAATCACCTACAGATGCAAGAAACTCAGGGATGCGAGAATCCTTCATGGCATCCGTTGATTTTTTTATTAGAACCTGACCAGAGCAATAGAACTAAATAACTACTCACAAGAAAATTGCTGAAACTTTTCAACATTATGTGTGGGTGGGTGGGTTGGGGAACCAACCGCTTTAATATTTTCTAAGCTTATAGAGCCATTTTTGTTTGGTTCCAATAGTGTAAACTGCTCCTTCAAGTAAAACAGCTCATCTGCAGTCAAAGTTTTAGACAGGGCCTGCAAAAATACCAATGAAAGGAAAATAAGAAATTGAAACAGTATAGGAGCTAGAAACCCCATGCAGAATGAGGAAAAAGTTAGCTTTATAAAAATGGGAAACCTATTAGGGGTAACTGGAGAAAGCTTCAAGCAATAAAAACATCTACCTGTAATAAAATAAGCAAAATCGATATCTAATGGAAGTACTTATTTTCTGAAAACAAAAAATCCACCTGAAGTCTAATGGAAACACTAAAAAGTGATATCACCATATACACACCCTTAACGCAGCCTTCCGAAGAGATGAAGAGCGCAGGTAGGCCTTCAAGAGTTTGAATATCTGTATATCTGAGGGCACTTTCACATCATTATACGTTTTTATCCAGGGATGACCTGTGGCATGCAATTGTGACTAAAATTTCAAGAACATAAGAATGATGAATATAACAGAAGACAGGCACTCACTCAAGGCTTGGGCTGCAGTCAATCTTTTTCTTGGGTCCTTATTCAGTAAACGCTTCACAAAATCCCTAGCCTCAGAAGATAGAGATGGCCAAGGTGCTTCATCAAAACTTGGATCAGCTTTTAGAACAGATCGAAAAATCCCAGACTCTGTTCGTGCCCAAAATGGACGACTACCACACAAAAGAATATAAGAAATCACACCTATACTCCAGACATCTGCTTCTGTACTGTAAGACCTATGTAGAACTTCTGGTGCTACATAGTATGCGCTACCGACAATGTCATTAAGCCTTTCATCTGAAATGGAAAAAGAAAACTTGAACACGTTAATCAAATAACTAAAGTAGCATAGCTTAAGGAATCCAAATTTGAGTACAAACCTGGTTTCACAAAATCAGACAAGCCAAAATCTATGGCCTTCAACTGTGAATCTTCATCCTTTGACGTAAACAAGAAGTTCTGATCACAAAATAGCAAAAATTAGAATAATATTACGCAGGGAAATTTTTATTATATAAAAAACCTTGTGCTGCTAGAAGGATGAAACTGTGATATACTAGAATATACTAGAATGGAGCACAACCAAGAAAATAAGCAGAAGCTCTTTGGCTATGCTTTGGTGATTGTCTGCATAATCAGAATATTTAGCCCAAGGTTATCCTCAATGAGATCCTTACATAAAACTTAGAAATCTTACATTGAAACCCAAAAACCAGTTCAATACCACTCAGTAAACAATATCAGAAACCTTATCAGAACTGGAAATAAATTCACCTCAGGTTTAAGGTCCCGGTGCACA